GCAAGTCTCTACCACGATATGAAATCGCATAAACACCCACTCAAATGTACAGTCGATCAGAATTTCACAAAGCCATGAATTCAACAAACAATTACAATGAACCATACTCCGCAGCTACAAACAATCATTAAACGAATGCACCAAACAAAAATTTAAATGAGTTACTCCCAATACTGAGCTCCTTCGTCATGACGACTCGAGACTGGCCAACCCGAAGGCCTTAGTCGTGCCAGATTTTGTTCGAGGCTCCACATACACCTCATTTTCTGCATTTTGTTAGTCACCCAAAAAATAATTCCAGACATATCCACATACACCACAATTTGCAGCAACATTTCACCCAAAATATTCAAACAATGAACATTCCTCCCAAAAAAGAATGCTAATAGACTCCATATGTCACAAAATAGTGTCAGTCGATCTTGACCATTGACAAGAGTTGAGATTAATTTTACACCTGAAGGTCGAGCATGTCACTCCCAATTATCCTACCTCTCCAAACGAGAATGATTTCTGCCTCTGAAATTGCCACCTGCGATCGGCACCATCCAGACTCGTCCCTCATTATCACCCTGCTGTGATGGATCCATGCTCGCTCATTTTGTCCTCGAAACTCCATAACTCGTCCACCATAGCTTGTCGAGACTCGGGTTATTTCGATGTTTTCTCGACAAGAATTCAAAGAGATATCGTTATTTATATTATATTCACGTCATCTATTTTGCAATTCTCCACGCGAGAAAAGCAAGAGATCATATACAATCATCACCATCTCCTAGATTTAAGACATGCTTAAAAACTATGAATAATCAATTCGAACAAAATTCCACATTTTCCCACAAAAATCTAAACGAGAGGTTCCGAGTATATCAATATGTCAAATCACATAATTTTAATACATCTCTCGAGCCCATCGATAAATGCACCAAACACACGGTAAGCACCACCACAAAATGTCCTCAATTCGAGATCACGACTCGCATTTATTCTCAATCAACTAAATTCTCCGCGAATAAATCCAATAATATCTCCACGAATAAGCCAAACAATATCTCCACGAGCAAATCAAATAATTTCACGATCGAATCAGATATCACCACGAAAAAATCAAATAATATCTCAAATAAATCACATAATCTCCTCGAGTAAATTAAATAATGCTCCCCAATCAAATCCGATAATACTCCACCAATAAATCAAATAGGCTCCATGGATAAATCAAACAATTTTGCTCGAACTAATCGAATATATTCTCCGCAAATAAACTCCATGAATATATCAAATAAACTCCATAAATATATCAAATACACTCCTCAGATAAATCAAATAATATCCAATTTTCACCCATCGAAAAATCATCAAGCCTCCACATTTTTCAATTTAAATCAAACAATTTCTCCAATTTCACCAATTTAAAAATCCTCAATTTTGACAATTTAAATAAGCCACATTTACCTCCTCGTTCGTGTTGAATCATCCCGAATTATTCTTGGGCACCAAATGGGGCTGTTGGACTAAGCTAGGCGGATTTGGACCGCTTTTAGACCATATAGACTGATTTGGTAACCTGTTGGTCGCATTCCCCTTCGCTGGGTGCCTCTGGGCTAAAAGACGCTCACTGTGCCGAGGAGAGCAGAATTTTGGGCCACGGAAATGGGCCAGGAGGCGCGCTGAGCATGGGCTAAGGACCGCGGGCCGCACGCGGGCCCTCGTGGGCTGAAAATGTAAGACACGCGGGCTGGAAGCTGGGCTGGACGCGGGCTGGGGCTTGGATTGGGCGCGGGCTAAGAGTGGGCTTGGCGCGGGCCAGGCAGTGAAAGGGGAGCGGGCCGCGCGCTGGGATGGACGGGAGTTGGGCCGTGGTTCTTCTTGCTGGGCCGCGGAGAAGTGATGCTGGGCCACATCGGTGGGCTCGACCATCCTTACTGGGTTGAAGGGCGCCGGGCCCGTGAGAGGAAAAACCTGGGCACTGAGCGGCGGGGAACGTGAGCACTGGAGCAGCCCGCTGTAAAAATGTCGTCGACCGAGGCTCGCCGGCGCCCGCGAGAGTGACCAGCCGAGAACGCGCCTCGACGAGGAGAATCCAGTGATGCTGTTGGTTTGAATTGAATCGCCGAAAATCATCGGGAAATCGGGAGAGAAGATTGGAGTTGACCACCATTTTACTAGATCCAAGAACTTTGACCGGCGAATTGACGACCTTCCCATCGGAATTTTTACTTGAAAATTTAAGAGTAGAACGAGCAAGGGAAGAACTTCACGATGGTGTAAGAATTTTTCCAATCGAAAGATTTTCACCGGCGGCCGGCGGCGGTTGGCGGCGGCGGATGGCGGCGTCCGCCAACTGTTGGTACTGTAGACTCGCCTCGACGAGAGGATTCCGGTGATACGCTTGGATTTTTCATAGCCCTCACCGATCGTCGGAAAAATGCATTTGAATGTTTGATTTTTACCAAATTTTTTATAGATCTGGAAACTTTGACCACGAAATTGACGGCCTTATTGGATGAATTTTCGCATGAAATTTTAAGGGGAGATTCACCTCGAAGAGATCTACCCGATGACGCAAGAATTTTTTCGATCGGAGCACTTTGGCCGAAGAAGGAGCTTGGTGGAAAATTTTCGATCGGAACTCCGTTTGGCTTTTTGAACGGGTCCCACAGACGGCGCCAATGAAGTGAATAGGATTTCACTCGGGCTCATTCGACTCGGTCGGCCTCCGTACCTGCAAGAACCCAACGCCGGGAGGGGTCCCGGCGTCGGGCCTCCGGCGTTCAAGTCAGAATCACTCCAAATCTCAAGTGTAGTAATGAATGTAGAGAGGATGAGAATAGGATACCTTAGCCCCCTTTTATAAGGGGAATGTACCTTATGGCCCAAGTTGGGCTTGTCCAATAGCATCATGCCATGTGTCCTAGCCATGTGTGGGCTTATTCTTCAATATATTCCCTTTTTATCCATTAAGACTGGTCTAGTATATAATATCCTATATCACAACGCACTACATAATGCACAATATTATTATTCAGTTGGTTCGATCGAACCGACCGAAAGAAATGTCAAAATTGAAATAAATATATTTTTTATTATATAAATAATTTGGTAAATGCAAAATACTTTTGATTGAAATAACCGTAATATTATTTATATTACGATAATATATTTAGTATTTTATTATTTTTATTTACCATTTAATACTTTTATACTTTTTTCCTATAAATAATTAATATCTTTACATAAAATATAAAGAAAACAATAATATTTTTTACATAATTTGGTCGATAAAGTAATTTTTATTAAAAGAAAATAAAATTGAGTTGTAATAGGCCAATAGCCCATACTTTAAATAAAACGGATAATCAATCCAAAATTATTCAAACCAAATATGTCAGGTTGGTCAGCTTCGACCGATATTGTGCAATTGGATAGTCATCCACGTGCAATTCGACTAGTATTAATGTGCACTCACACCGCAAGCATTTTTTATGATTCGTCTCGAACCAAACTGAAATCGTACTGAAATAATCGGTTTCTTCGATTTTTAACCGAACTATCCTAAATAACTGAAATACTTTCTTATGTATATTATAAAAATACATAATATCGTATTGACAATGTCAGTCTGTATTGTGCATATTGGACCAAATGAACATTTATCCCATATCATATTGACAATGAACATAATTTATTGGTTTATTCGGTTAGGATAGCTGAAGTATCGTAATTAATCAAAATAATTGTTATTTATATTAAAATTATGTTTAATGTGCTAATATTTTCATATGATTTTTTGGTTGAAAAAAATTTGAGTTCGGTCGGTTTCGATCTTTTTTGTGTAATATGTGATAAAGTGCAACTTATTGTTTTGTAATGTACAATGTGTTGATTTACAGAGTGCAACGTGATGATGTATTCATTGAACTACTGGCATTTTGGTAATGAACTAGTGTCATTTTGGTACATTAGCATGCTTATGTTTTGTGTGGATAAATGATTAGATTGATGTTAAATTATTACATATATCCGTTTTTTTAGATTTATGTTGTGCGGTATTTTTTGTGGGAGTCGTTGATGTTAATCGTGCAGTGTGGTGATAGAGTGCAACATGTTGTTTTATACAGTGCAACGTGTTGGTTTATAATGTGCATCATGCTGGTATATAAAATGCACTACTTTATATGATCACATATAAAATATGTGTATTTTAAAATTATATTTTAATAGATATAATTGTACATCGAATTAACATAAATAATTAAAATAAAATATTAATTATTATTATAAAAAGTATGTTTATTATTATTATTATTTTGTGTGTAAATTCCACCTGAAATTGAACCGAAATAATTGAGTTATTTTGTTACGTAATCAAATTAATCTAAATAAACAAACTAATTTAATATTTATATTGAAAAAATAAATTAATTATTATTTATATTATAAAGATATATTAATAATGTTAATAGGTTTATGTAATATCTTTATATTATTTTTTTGTTTAATATTCATAATAAACANATATAAAAAAAAATAATATTTGATATAGTATTTTAAACCTGTTAGTTCAATCGCTAATGTGCAGTATGACATACACTAATGTGCAACTAGTCTAACACTAAGGTGCACAATTTCGGTTCTAATGTACAGTCTGAACCGACGAACTTTTGTCCAAATAAATTAACACCAAATTGAATTACTTGGTTTATTTTAGTATTTTCTTTTCCACAAATTACATAATATTTTTTATATAAAGAATAGAAAATATCCTATTCTATGTCATCCCAAATTTGAATGTCCAATCAATTGAACAACAATTATATGTTTAGTAAATTGTAAATTTGGCCAAGAACTAAATTATAATTTATTCAAGTTTAAGAAATTGCAATTAGGCCCAATACATTATTAAATTTCAAAAAATTAAGCCCCAAATTCAACGCAGCTACTCGGACCATTACAGTCAATCGATTCAGCCGCCGTGTTTGCCGCACTGAACCGCCCAGATGGAGAGGACGTGTCGTCGCACTGCATCGGGTCTGCTCCTCGACCGATTTGCTGAGATCTGATCGGAAATCTTGAAACTGCCATGTGAAGGATAGTCGTCAGAAGGAAAGAGGGAGAGCGTCGTGCTCGTCGGAGACCGGAGAGAAGGACAGCATGTCGGAGACAACTTGCCGGCAGAAGCAAATTGGATAAATTCGCGGCACTTGACGGCGGTAATGATGTCCGACCGACGATGGCGTGCGGCGACCGTGGGCAGCGGGATTGGGATGTGGCTGTGGGCGGCGCTGGGGCGGTGCGCCGGTGTGAGGTCCCTGTCGGCGGCGACAAGCGGTGGTTTTAGGCTGTGGGCGTACTCTGTTTGTGTGTGTGTGTGTGTGTGCAGAGTGTGTGCGTGTGTGTTTGTACATGTTTGTGTGTGCTAATGTGTGTGTTGCGTGTGTTGTATGTGTGCGTGCGTGTGTTTTGTATGTATTAGGTGTGTGTGGGGATGATGTGGCATGGTGATGTGTTGGTGATGTGTAATTGTAATGACCAAAATACCCTTAAAGAGGATATAATTTTGATTTTTTCTAGCCATTAGATCGGATGATCTAATGGTTACGATTTATTCTCATTTCTTTCATTAAGAACCATTCTCATGTGAACTCAATCCTATATATATATATATATATAGGGATTGGTTCCAATGCATCCCATTATTTAAAGTGAGGACGTGAGACTCATTCCTAGCCACAAGATTTAGATCTTGATTTAAATAATAATGTTTTATTTTTATTATTTAATTCTTTATTTTTAATTATTTAAATATTATTATGACCGTTGACCGTTGACTCCGGCGTTGACCGTTGACTCCCGGCAAAAATCCTTGACTTCCGGCGTTGACCGTTGACTCCGGCGTTGACTTCCGACGTTGACCGTTGACCATTTGTCTTTTGTTATGTTATTTCTTTCTTGTTAGGTTAGTTGTGTCTTGTTGCTAGGTTAGTTGTTTGCTGTTGCTAGGTTAGTTATTTGTAGCTGCTATATTAGTTGAGTTTTGTTGCTAGGTTATTTTTTTCTTGCTGCTAGGTTAGTTGTCTTTTGTTGCTAGGTTAGTTCTTTCTTGCTGCTAGGTTAGTTGTCTGATGCTGCTAGGTTAGTTGTCTTTTGTTGCTAGGTTTTTTTTTTCTTTTTAAAAGCAACGCCCCGGAAGGGCGGGGGATTGGGCTGGATCCCCAACCTGTACATAGATCAGGGCCCCGAAATCGGGAGCCCAGAATATCAATGAAGAAGATACAAAAGTCTATGGAGTCTCACAGTCACAGTAAAAAAACAAAAGAAAACAAGAAATAAAAACTGAAAAACGAAAAAGAAACAAAAACTACAATACAAGGTCGATCTTCGGGCTAACAGATGCCCGAAATAAATTTCTATACTAATGAAAGCAGAAATCCTAAACTAGTGAAAGCGGAACGCTGGATATCCAAGCTGGTCCATCCGTACAAGGGTGCGAAGGCGGAGTGGAGCAGTGTCAGTCTGGAGTGTATGTGTGCCTGATATGGTGGCGCCGAGGCTGGCCAGGTAATCAGCCGGTCTGTTCCCCTCACGGAAGATGTGCGTGATCCTGTGATGGACTGACCGAAGTAGATCTCTAATGCGCATAAGCGGGTGCTGAATCTGCCACGAGCCCTGATGGCCCAAAGTCAAGAGGGTGGCGACAGCCGCAGCATCTAGCTCAATCCATATATGACTAGAGAGGTGGACAGCAATCTGAAGGCCAATCTGTAGTGCCTGAATCTCTGCATCGTAACTCGAGGAGGCCTGAATGGACGCGTGGAAGGCGGTGATGAGGGCGCCGCTATTGTCCCGAATCAAGCCTCCTCCTCCGGCAAGTCCAGTGTGGCGATCAAAGGAGCCATCAGTGTTCAGCTTGACCCACGGAGAGTCAGGTTGAAGCCAAACAACAGCTCTGGCCCGAGGAGGCAGAAACAGGCAGTGGTGGGACCACCATGTATCGATGCGGTGGTGTGCAGCCTGTCCAGTCTCGGGCCGTGAGCCTGCCCAATGCGATGAGGAGTGAAATGTGTCTCTCTACCTGCAAAACAATGTGAGAAAACATAAAAGTAATATCCCTATGCTTCGCACTATTCCTTTCTGTCCAGGTGAACCAAAGGATCAGACAAGGAATGAGGAAGCCCACGTGTCTAAGGTGTGTGCTCTGTGAGAAAAAACTCAGGAGCTCAAAAAAACTGTATGTGGTGGGTAGGGATATATGAGTCTAAGTGGCAAAATGCTCCCACACTCTCCTCACAATCTCACTCTCTAGAAAAAGGTGGGTAAAGGTCTCAGTCTCATGGCGTCCAGTCTCAGAACAACACACACACCTGGAGGGGAAGGAGATCCCTCTCGCGTGTAGCACAGTATCAACGGGTATCCGGCGCAAGAGGAGGCGCCAAAGGAACACCGAAATAGTAGGCATGAAAAGGTCACTCCAGATAGCCCCGAAGAGGAGATTAGGCCGATCCCTCAGCCTTATCTGCTCCCAAGCCGAGGTAGTAGAAAACACACCTGATGATGTAAGTCTCCACCTCATGCTATCTGAACCGTCCCCCGAGATAGGGATCTGCTGGATCTGATCTAATAACTGCTCGCTAAAACCCGCACCAACCCCCAACTCCCTATCAAGCTTCCCCCTATCCCACGACCCGTCCGTCCAGAGGTCGCTCACGAGCAGGTAGGGGGAATGCGACACCTGCCTATCCCTAGACAAAGGCCTATCACCTACCCACCACTCACCCCAGACACTGACATCGCCCCCGCCCAAAACCCAAAAGATGTGATCCTGCTCGTTATTTCTTTCTTGCTGCTAGGTTAGTTGTCTTTTGTTGCTAGGTTATTTCTTTCTTACTGCTAGGCTAGTTGTTTGATGCTGCTAGGTTAGTTGTCTTAAGTTGCTAGGTTATTTCTTTCTTGCTGCTAGGTTAGTTATCTGTAGTTGCTAGGTTAGTTGTCTTTTGTTGCTAGGTTAGTTCTTTCTTACTGCTAGGTTATTTGTCTTTTGTTGCTAGGTTAGTTGTCTGTTGTTTCTAGGTTAGTTGTGTTTTGTTGCTAGGTTAGTTGTCTGTTGTTGCTAGGTTAGTTGAGTTTTGTTGCTAGATTTTTTTTTTGTTAACAAACAACGCCCCGAAAGGGCGGGGGATTAGGCTGGATCCCCAACCTGTGCATAGATCAAGACCCCAAAACGGGGGCCATAAATATCAACAGTCTACAAGATCTCACTAGCGAAACAAATACAAAGTCTGTCTATGGGCTAACAGGTGCCCCAAAAGAGAAAATGATAATCTAATGAAATGACAACAAAGAAAACCTAATCTACTGAAAACGGAAAGATGGATATCCAAGCTGATCCATCCGAACAAGCGTGCGAAGGCGGAGTGGAGCAGTGTCAGTCTGGAACGTATGTATATCGGGTATGGTGGCACCAAGGCTGGCAAGGTAGTCAGCAGGTCTGTTCCCCTCACGGAAAATGTGCGTAATCCTGTGGTGGACTGACCGAAGTATATCTCTAATGCGCATAAGTGGGTGCTGAATCTGCCACGAGCCCTGATGGCCCGAAGTCAGGAGGGTGGCGACAGCCGCAACATCCAGCTCGATCCATATATGACTAGAGAGGTGGGCAGCAATCTGTAGGCCAATCTGTAGTGCCTGAATCTCTGCGTCGTAGCTCGAGGAGGCCTGAATGGACGCGTGGAAAGCAGTGATGAGGGCTTTCTTGGTGCTAGGTTAGTTGTGTTTTTTATTTATAAAAAAATTGTAACCCATAGGATTTGAACCTGGTACCTCATGGAGGCAAGACAAGCAATGCAACCACTACACCACTCAGGGTTGAGTGTCTTTTATTGCTAGGTTATTTATTTCAACACAAAGGGTCAACGCCGGAAGTCAACGGTCAACGCCGGAAGTCAACGATTCTCGCCGGAAGTCAACGCCGGAAGTCAACGGTCAACGCCGGAGTCAACGGTCAACTATTTTATAATTTAATTAATGTATATTTTAATTGATTTTGATCTAGACAAAATGAGTGGCTAAGATTGAGAAAAAATATCAATTAAATATTTGTACAATTTTAAATTTTTTAATCTTAAACTAATTGATAAATAATTCAGAAATCTCCATTATATTTAAATATATATTTTCATATATATTAAAAATATTTTTATACGTAACAATAATTAATTAAACAATCGTACCGATCTTACCAGTTCAATCGACTGGTTTTGACCAGTTCGCTAGCAAACATTTTAGTAAACTGGACTGATCGATAAACTGGTCCCGGTTCATCCAGTCAGACTCTCCGGTCCAGTCCTGTTTTCAAAACAATGGGTAAATTATGATTACTGTTTTAAATACAAACGTAATATTATTTCCACATACATTGCACGGGCCACGTACTATTTTTTAATGAAATACACTATGGTTAAAAATAACACTAAAACACAATCAATCATAGCACTATTTAAAAGTAAAAATAATGGTTCTCACGGTAAGACTTAATTCTTATTTGAATCATATATATAGGGGCTAGTTCAAATAAAAACTAGTCCTGCTGTGAGAACCGTGAAAATCGTTTTTTATGCTATTTTTAATTGTGTATGATGCTATTTTCCATATTAGATGATGCTATCATTTTTACAAGTGTTACCAGAAATTGTGTTGCTATTTTTAATAAAATTCATCCTAGTTGAAAATAGCATTAAACACAATCATCATAGCACTACGCCTAAATAAAAATAACGATTCTTACGGTTCTCACATTAAGACCTGATTTTCATTTAAACCACATCCTCTGTCTATATATATATATATATATTTGAGCAGGTATAGTAGCACTTGAGTTGAATCATAATCAATAAGATTATAAAATGGCTTTATGTTCTATTTCAGATTAATAGTTGCTTAGTGGTTTGTCATGTTTCCATCAATTGAGTGGTTTGGCTGTAAGTCGTTGACTAAGCTATGGATTGGCGAATAAATGCTCAAAGCAATTAACATAATCCGGTGCCTTGATTAATTAATTTAATTAATTAATACTGCAAAGTAAAATGAGTGCCTACTTATTGGTGAAATTCGGTGCATCAGCCATCAAATACGACATAATCCTATACATCCCATCAAAAAAGTAAGTCAAGTTGGATTGTTTATTTTTCATTTGACCTTCATCGATTTTAATAAATTAAACTTTGACGTCACATAGTTATCGATTACTCAATGGCGTCATGAGTTACAGTAAAATCTAATTATTCTCAAAGAATATTTTTATTAGAACTCCAAATGTATACATGTTTTTAGATTTTGTTTGATGAACCTTTTTCTTGGCACATTACCTCCAAAATAATACGAAATTGACTATTTTTCTCTTTCATTAAAGACCCTGAGATGACACACACACATATATATATACATTTTTAAATTCAATTATAATAAATTTTAAATTAATCTTTAAAATTAATTTGAAGCTTTTAAAGTCCATGGTGAGACAAACAAAATGAGGTATGATTAATTGAATTCTGAAAATTGATACGTTGGTAATCAATCGACGAAAAAAGTAAGTGCACGTGTGTATACAAAAAAACTACTTCGATTCAACTTTTCTGGAATCAACATATTCGAATTTCAATTGAGAGTTGTCATCTGAAAGCTTAAAGGACGATTTTTCTAATGAAGTAAATCTTATGAAAATCTAACAGTAGGATTGTAATCATTAGTTAAACAAATTGACAAATATCTAGTTTTTTTTAAGATTACTAACCAAAATCAAACAATTAGATTTTCATAGGATTTACCTGTTAGAAAACTCGCATGTAAGCTCTTAAATAACACCTCCCGACAAAAAATTAGATATCTTAATTATTATAAAAGTTGAATTGAAGTTTTTTCTATACACATGTGCGCCTAATTTCTTCGTCAATCAATTTTCAACATATCAGTTTTCAGAAATCGATAAACCATACCGTATGTTTGTCTTGTTTTGGGCTTCAAAATCCCTAAATTAATTTTAAATATTAATTTAAATTTATCATGAATTGGGTTAAAAATATTTTCATGTCATATTAGAGTTTTTAATATAGGGGGAAAATTGTCAATTTCGTGTACTTTGAGAGGTAATATGTCAAGGAAAAAATCCATAAAGTAAAGTCTAAAAACAGGAATACTTTGAGAAGTAAAGAATTTTTTTTCCTATTTTAAATTAAATATTGTTATTTAATTTATAAAGTTTATGTTGTGAATTTTTAATTTTTCTATTCGAGTTCAATAATCTGACTATAGTAATTTCACATATTACCTAATATATTATGATAAGTAAATTTTATTTATTATTTATTTATATTTTTTCTATTAGATAAATTTAGGCTCATTTCTTGTTTTTATATTAGGATTGACAATAAACTTAAATTTTTGTTATATATCAATAATTGTTATTCTTATATTTTATTTAAGCAATATTGGTATCGAATCCAATATTGTCATGTTTCATATATAAGTTTTATTTAAAGATTCATACATGAATTTTGTTTTCATTTTAATGATAATTTGACCGATTCTTTGTTCTTGTATGTCGTTTTGGATATGTACATGTAAATATATAGAGAATGGATCCTATGAGAAAGATGGATAGTGAAAGAAATAAGAATGAAAATGGATCATTGGATTCAATATATCACTGGTCATGATCAAGTCAAAATATACTAATAACTGTCAAACGTGTAATGACAATAAGATAAATAAGTTAACATATTGTGGTCACCACTTATCAGGATAAATTTGTCATTAAAAATAATAGCACCAATCAGTGGGACCCACTTATATACTAATTTATATATTCACACAACACCCATCACCCGCACCCCCACCCCCTAACTGCCCGTCTCTCACACGCACAATTCACAAAACACACTCATTAAACACACACTATTCACACACAGAGATGTGGCTACCGGATCGATGACCAACGCCGGCCCCTGAACTCGACATGGATGCCACACGTTACCACCAGACGCTGCAAATGCCTCCATCGGCGACCAGGCCAAATATTATAATTTTGAAGTTTCAACCATGCCCGCCTCCGAACTCGCATCTATCACAGCGACAGTGTCAAGTTTCAGGCCGCCCCCAGCCGGGCTCAATTCGGTGGTCAATGGCATACGCGAGCGTCATCGGTGTCTTCAATTCCGATCTCACTTCACATCCCCCTACATCCGTCGCGAATTTGAGTTCAATGTCTAAGGGCCATGTCCTTTTCGGCAGCGTATGACCGATCAGGCGGCGGCCGGCTGCTGGCGAAGGGACATGAACGCCTGCTTACTTATTTAAAAGAAAACACTGAATTTCAGAAATAATTTGAATTTTAAAAATCATTTTTCAAAAAGATCTCTCTACGGACATTACTCAAAAATCCATTTTTTAATTCAAACCATTCCATGCTTAAATAATCATCCAAAACATCAAAAGTTTAGATTATTCCAAACATAGTTCAAAACACAACATCTAAACCAAACATTTGTTTCAAAAGAGTTTGCGGAAACATAAGAACATACATAATAACGACCACGCCAGTCCTCTCGTGTCCGCCACCAGCTCGATCAACCTAAAAAACAATGGGGTGAGCAATCCTACAGCTTAGTGGTAAAATTCATACTATGCATCGATTCAGTATAAGCACAGATAGTGTATTAATCATATGAACATGTATACCACTTTCTCATCTCATAAATACCCGGCTAAGAGACTATATTTTCAAGTCACCATGGTAAACCCAGCTTCAAGCCTCCAGGTAAATTCGAACTAGTGACTCTTATTTCAAGCCTCCATAACTTACCCGACTCTAGGTAAATTTAGACTAGTGAATCTTATTTCAAGCCTCAATAATTTACCTGTCGTGGCTATTATACACTGTTAACCTAAATTCACATAGTATTACACTTAGCATATTCGGCCCACCGCCCCCCAATCACATACATATCAAAACTATATTACTGCATGCTTATAATGAATAAATCATAGTATAGAACGCCACCTGATACTAGTGGATGGTGATGAAAATGTAGATGAAAAAAGACTATGTCACTCAGAACAGCTCTCGAGTCTCGACTGCTCAAAATCTACATTTTTAGCACAAAGCATTTATAAATACTTAACTCATTTTTCTCGAAAATAATTAATTTCTAACTTAATCAAAATTAATTTAAATAAGGACTTTTTGTGAAATTTGTGGAAATTCGGAACTCTCGTTTATTGGTGAAAAAGGCTAAAAAATTTTCAATAAGACTAAATATGGTTCGTCATAAAAACCGGTTCAAACATCTCAAAATATTGCTCAAGGGTTCAAGGTTGGGCTCTGAGTCCGCGCGGCTGGCCGCTGCCTCGGGTCCGTCTGCACCGGCACTGGCATCCCGACTGCACGTGGCTCAAGCCGCTCGTGTGCTACCTGCTGCTCACGCCCCGGTGTTGTCCAAGGTGTTGTGGCTCGACCCTGCGCGCCTGGTCGCGGGACTGCATGCACTAAGATGCACTAGGTCGCTGGGACACGAGATTGGTGCTTCGGGTTGCTGGTATCGGGATTGAACGCTGGCACAGGGAAGTTGCGTGCATGCGCACTTGCTGGAATGCTAGTGGGTCGATACGGGGAGTGGCACACGGTACCCGGGTGACAGCAATCTGCGGCACAACACGAGGCGACTAGCTCGGCTCGCGACATGCTGCGCGCTTGTGCGCGTGGCGCCTGCAAGGCTAGCGCTCAGCTGCGCCTGCAGAGGCTGCGGGTTGCCTGACGTCCACGACACCTAGGCCACGATTCTCAGCGCACGGCTGCACCTCGGCCAGGTTCAGGTTTGTGGGTTCATGGGTTCACCAAGGAGTTAAAAAAAAAATGATATTTCCCAAAATTTTCCCCAAGGCATAGAAATTTATTTTAAGGCACAAAACCCAGGTTCAACATATTCAACTCAAGGCATTTTTGTTAATATAAATTCAATGGATTAAGGCTCCAAAATTTTTATAAATTACTGAATCTCGCTCTTCCTGTCTCTCGTCGCCCCCAAAAAAAACCCTGCTCTTCCCGTCGCTAATCTTCTAAATCGACGCCTCTCTCTCAGCTTCCGGCCTCTCCGGTAGTCCCCCCTTGCTGCCCGGCCCTCCCTGATGCCGCGACCAAGCTTGCCTATGGCATCGGTGGTCCTTGTGGTGCTAATTTTGCTTTCTCTTGAAATTGGGTTAGGGTTCGCCATATCCGACCACTTTAGTCCTGAGCAGAGACCTTGGGTCGCGGAGCTTTGGGTCAGGGTCGGGTGCGTCCTCGGCGGTCCATCTTCTCAGGTTGGATGTCTTGAGTTTATCAGGCGGTCCTCTCCCTCTCCCCGAATTCGACTTCGACAGCGTGCTTTTCGGTCGCTGTGGGGTGCAGGAGCCGTCGGACTGCTTTGATCTTTTTCGCCGGCGGATTGGTGTGTGAAGGAGGTGAGCTTTTGGTTGACGATTGGTCGGTTGCCGGTCTCGATTGAGGGTGAGTTTCCTTCTAGCCGCTCCTGTCTCGGTTTCCTTTGCCTGTGTCTGGCGGTGTTCGGTGGTTAGAAGGTTGGGCTCTTGAGTGGCTCAGGTTCTTTTTCTTTCGAGATGGTGGGGCTGAGGTTGCGGTATTGAGTCACCTCCTTTCCTCTGGTTCCCCGTGTTTGGGTTTCGGGGTTCTCGGTTCTTCTGAGCCCGCTAGTGATGTTAGGGGGCTTGGTGGGTTGTGTTGGGAGTTTCTTGGTATTTCTAGTTTGGGGGAGAATTGGCTTAAGGTGGGACTCATGGTTTGAGTTGCGATTCAGCTAGGCTTAATTGCAGTGGAGGGGTCGTTTATCTCAAGCGGTGGGTGTCCTCTAGGTTGATTTGGTGGCTGCTAGTCTGGTTAGGAGTTGCTGTAGAGGGAGGGCTTGTGATTGTGTGTTTTATAGTTATTTTTTTGCTGGTTTTTTTTGTCTTTGTTTGTTCCTGTGATTGTGTTTTAGGTTTGGGCAGTTGGCCTCTGTGCGCCCGGGTGTCAAATTTATTACTCCGTGGGGGTCCGACACTCGGGTATTACTCTGTTGGGGTCTTGTTTAGTTTTGTTTGTGTAGTTGGTTTAGTGTGGTTGTGTTTT